GAGGTCTCCCTAAAGGAAGGCAACAGGAGTAGGTTGGCATTTTGCGGGAGAGCGTGGATTAGAGGACAGTTTCAGGGTTAAAGTCATAGCAAACCCAGCCTGGCAGGACTGGCTTTATAACCCTCTCAGCTCTGGTAAGGCTGAGGGCAAAATGAAAATATAGGGTCACCTGTTAAAAAATGACTAAGAATTTTACATGAAGGCCCTTGTCAGCATGAAGGCCTCTGTGGCTGCGCGGGTTGCATTCTCATCAATCCCCGCTCTCTGGACTGAAGCAGAGGCCACCTGCTCACCCCTCTCCCCATGCACCCATCCATCCACCAACCATTTCATCCATCACTGTTCAATTATTTATCACTGTTTTGCTTTTTGCTCAGCAGACAGGGCCCGAACTGCAGGCTGATAAGGACACCAACACAGGCAAGCAGGAACAACCATAGTCCACTAGGTTATACCTGGGCCTTTACCTGAAAGTCCAATGCCATGGATATAGGAGGGCCAGGGCCTCTGAAACCTCTGCTCTCTGGGGCATTTAGGCGTCGGGAGTAGAGAAGCTGGAAGGTTGATTTCCCAGGACCAGAGGTAGCCAGGAGAGCAATAGGATGTGACACGGCACAGGAAACCCAGCGGGGGCTTTTGAGGACTAAGGGCAGAGTTGAGTGCAGCCTCTGCAGTCACTTATCCCCCGTCACATAAAGGAAGTGTGACCAGAAGGGACATGATCTACGTGGTTCAGAAGACTCCCCAGGGGTTCCTATCCATCCTCTGGATGGCAGTGCTCCTCCTTAGCCCAAACTCTGCCAGCGGCCACAGCCCAGGGCGTGCTGAGTCCTGGACACAGAGGTGCATGTACAGAGACAGCAGAGGAAGCTGGGCCGCAGGCCATCCTGGCTTCAGTGCGCTAGTCCATCAGTTGCTGTAACTTAACTACCTCTCCGCACCTTGTTTTCCCAGTCACACAATAAGGAAGTTGAACTAGGTGACTCCAAAAGTCCTTTCCCTCTCTGCCCTTCAGGAACTGCCTGGGCCCCTAACCCTGGTGCCCCACCCTCCAAGAGACAGTCTTTTCTATTACAGGGTGGAGGTACAGAGCAGAGGAGTGGCACCCCTGGCAGATGAAAGGTTTCAGGCACCTGAAACATCAAACAGCCCTGATCTGAAGGGAGGAGAGGAAAGGGGATTAATGCAGGGAAAGCAATACGTTTTGATTATCAGCCTCCTGCCCTGGGGTGGGGGGTGGGGGGCAGGTTGCTCCAGAAAGCATCTAGGAAGAGGTCCTGAGGACTTTTGCCTGAAGCTTCTGGGGCTGAGTCTTCAGGGGGGGGTCTTCAGGTGGGCTTCCTCACTGGAAGGCAGCAGGGTGTGTGTTCCACACCCTTCCCACCAGTGAGCGGGGCAGCCCTGCATCTGTCCCCTCACCTCTGGACAGTGTCTGTTGTCCATCCACCACGGGGCTGACTTCCTCTTGAAGTCAAACCATATGAGGTTGGAAAAATCAGCCCTGGAGGGGACCCACAGCATCCCAGCATCCTCGCCCCCAAGAGACACAACTCTGACCCTCCTTGCAACATCCTGTGGAAACTGTGGGCATGAGCCTCAGAGCTCCCCAAGAAACAGTACAGTCACGAGCTGCTCGGTTGTCAGCCAGATCCCTCCTCCTTACTGCAAGCTACAGTTTTCCATTAGTGGTCATCGATTTGGATCTCCTTCTGTAACATGTAGGAAAAGGGTAAGAAAAAACCTTTCATTATGAAGTTAAATATGCATGATCCCTCAGTATACAACAGGCCTCGCGTGGCTGCCAATCTGGGCTGGCCTCCCTTGGAATCGACTTGCTCTGGGGCCGGACGCAGCTCTGAGATCATCGAGTTTAACCTTCTGGTTTACTGATGGGCTAACTGAGGTCCAGAGAGGGACTGGTTCCCCCACAGGCCCACAAGTTGGGGTCCAGACTCCGATGACCACCTCTGAAATGCTGCGGAGCCCCCACGCTGAGGTACATACTTGGTTTATCCTGGATCCCCGTTTTCCCAGTTTCCACCCAGCCCTTCATCTGAGGCTCTGGAGCTAGAAACATCCAGTGCAAATGCCAGTTCCACCACTTCCTTGCTGAGGGGCCGCAGGCAACTGACTTAACCTCTCTGATCATTCCCTCATCCGTAAGACAGAGAGTTTATAGTCACTCCTTGAAGTTCTGTGATGATTACATTAGTTCAGCAAATATTGGTCAAGTACTTAACTGAACATCAGGCCTGTTCTCAGAGCTGAGGGGTACAGCAGTAGACTCCATGGTAGTGGGCGTAAAGCACAGGGGACGTGCTCAGAAGGGTCGGTCTCTGCTCCCCAGTTGAGCCGTCAAGCTCTGATCCTGGGGAGTACCCAGTGCCCTTCTCGTCCCCCCACCCTCGAGGTGGGATGACTGGAAAAAAGTGGAGGAAGAACTCCCTCCATTCCAAGGGTCTCCTGCCCACAGGTTCTGAACCGTGTGCAAGAAATAGAAAAGGGGCAAGGGGCACGTTTCAGGGGTGTCTCTCTCAGTCCTCCTGCCCCTCCCCAGTCAGCAGCCTGTCCCTCCTTCAGCCTGGAAGGCAGCTGGTACCTGTGGCAGGCCGTGCCTGGAGGATGGGAGTGGGCCTCCAGGGCACCTCCGGGACACTGGTGTGTGGTCCAGCCCTGGAAGTGCAGGGACCAGACCGTGCTGAGCACCTACACTGTCACCTGTTACCTGCCAGAGCCTGCATGGGACCCTACCACTCCCAAGGGGCTGTGCCCAGGGCCCTGAAGTACCAGCCCAGGGCCCTGCAGTCAGCCAGTGGAACCAGGGATTTGTGCCTGGTCCTCTGACCTTCCAAACCCATGGTGACCGCTCCTTCCAGATGCAGATACAGCCAGAAAGAGAAGCGGGGCCCTGAGACTCCTGCCTGAGTCCACAGGGCTGTCTGCTGCCTCACATCTGTGGGCAATTACAAGTCTGCACTCTTCTTCCCGCAGAGGGGGGAGGGCTGCTGATCACACCAAAGGGAGGGCGCGGCTAATGGTCTCCTTTCCCACTGGCCAAGCCAGGGCCCTCAGAGGAGGGCAGGCCTGAAGCTGCACCTTCCGCTGGAGGGCGCTAGAGTCAGGAGCTGGCCTGCAGGGGAGGAAGGTGCTTTCCTCCAACCAGGGGATCCCTGAGTTTCTAGGAGGTGAAGTCTTTGTGTTCAGGCCAATCACAGCCTAAATATCCACTCTACTGTGTGACCCTGGAAAAATCACTGAGCCTCTCTGAGCCTTGGTTTCCTTATCTGTAAAATGGAGGTGATAACAATACAGATTCCAAAGCCCTACTATGGGGATGAGAGCGTGTGAGATCCCAGGCTCTGTGTCCGGCACGGGCTAAGTGTTCTATGACAGTGACTGAATCAGTCCTCAGGTTAGTGTAGTGGATGCCCAGCCCTCCTGCCTGGAGCAGCCCTCCTTCCGGAGCATGACTTCAGAAGATGATACTCAAGGCCTCTGTGCAATCTGGGGCCACAAAAGGCCACAAAAGGATACTCCTTCCTGTCTGAAATAGACAAACATGGTCTGGAGAAACTGTGTGATGTTCTGGCAGGGCACTTGAGAGAAGGCAAAAAGCCTGGGTTCTCCTGGAAGTCCCTCCTTTCTCAAGCACAATCTCTCGACCCACTGCCTGCCCAGGGACTATGAGAACAGAAAATGTGATGGGGAAGCCTAGGGCCTGACACCCTCTGATACACAAATACACACTCTCTGATACACAAATAGAACACACACAGGAAGACAGGCCAAGCAACAAGGTTCCAGCCTGAAGGGTATGACAAGCACTTGGAAGACTGGGAAAATCTAGGAAGACTGCCTGGAGGAGGTAGAGTTGGAAGGATCCCTGAAAGAACAGTGGAAGTGATAAGGAACATTGTTCCAGTGGGGAAATGAGGAGGCAAATGCCCATGGGTACAAAAATTCCTTCTGGGAACACTGAGATCTGACTGGCAGGAACACACAGCCCATGTTTGGGGCAAGGAGCCTATTGTCTCTGGACCCCGGCTCTAGTTCAGTGGTACAGTTTGTGGTTGCTGTGAGCCTCGGTTTCTTCACGAGTCAAGTGGGTGTAAGATCAGCCCCTGCCTCTAGAGCTGCTGGTTACATGAGTGTTACATGAGATCATGCTTATAAAGCACTCAGCACATCCTGGCATGCTGTGTCAATCAGTGGCAGCCACTGTTAGGAGCTGGGGCTTTCTGCAGGAGAACCACAGAAGGAATCACGATCAGATTTCTGTTCTAGGAATTGAGCAGAGAGGGGCAGCGTCCAGAAGGAAGAGACAGCAAGGAGATCTGCAGGGAAGGGTCCAGCAGCCAACCCCCAGGTTCTTCAAAGAGGGGACCTCAGATCTGACAGGTCCCAGACTCCCAACCCCAAGCGCAGAAGCACTAGATTAGGGCTGCTGGGGCCCTGGGCCCCGTCGCCTTCGCACTTTCCCAGTCGCTGGGGGTTTGGAAGGACATCTTAGGAATCTGGAAAATTTGCAAATCCATTTAAATCCCCAGAGGTTGCCTGGCGGCAGACTGGCCTAGAGCCAGGCAGATTCTTAGGGACAAGGCTTGGGCCCCATACAGAGCCTGTGGCTCTAAGGTCCTCTGCCCCCTGCTAGGTCCCCTTTCAGTGTCCCTTGCCTTCTATCTCCAATCCCTCACTCACTCCTCTCCCTGTCCTGCCCAACGCCCTCCAAGGCGGTGCTGTGTTTTGGAGATGCCCACTTGGTGGCAGTACCCAGAAACTTCTGGGGCCTTTTTGATGAGGGCAGAGGCAACAGGGTTGAAGAGGCCCTACCATCCACCCAGCAGCCTGAGCAGGAGAGAGCTGGCTCCTCCGGCCCCGCCATCCACAGCCTCCCGGCCTCCTCCCATCTGGTTTTGTTAAAAATATTTTCCATTTTCTGAAGACGCGTGCTGGGTAAGGGGACAGGAGAGGGGCTGGGGCCCCACCTCTTGCACACTTACCTTGCTGCTGATGCCCTCTGGTGCGGGCATAGTCCCGGCTCTGGGCTGTCACGCTTGCAGGTCTTCCTCCTCGCTGCCCTCTCCCGTTATCAGCAAGACCTCACTGGATCCAAAGCAGAGCGTCTGGAGAGGAGGGCAGGAAGGACTGTTGCAGGCTCCAGGAGCCCAGGGAGACTGGAGGGAGTGAGGGGCTGCAGGGTGAGGAGTGGCCTCACTCCCAAAGCATCCTTCAGGAGGGGCAGAGCTGCCAGGAGGGGCCACCCTGGATCTGGCTGTCTGTCCGCACACAGACTGCTGCCCTGCAGTGCTGGTCAGAGGAGCGGGCTCTCTCCTCTTCCTCCTCCTCTCCTCAAGTTGCTCACAGAGGGATCCTGGTCCCAGACGGGGCGGGCAGGGACTGCTCACACCACTGTGGGCTTCCCTGCCTCCGCCCCCACCCCCCACTTTGGGGGAAAGGCTGCAGGGTGGCCTCTGATTGGCCCAGCCAGTAGAAGGGGGGGGTGGGGGGCGGAGAGGATGGATGTGTGAGTCTGTTTTCAATTTCAATTTTTTTCCTCTCTTTTCCCTTTTTTCCCCCAAGTTTCTTGTTTTTCTTCTTTTCCCTCCTGTAGCCCGCTCTCTCAGGATGTGAGGGGTTGTTTAGAAATTCCGCAGCCCACGCCAGCCAGCCGTTGAGTCACTTTTATTAAAAAGTGGCCCGGGCTGCTGCGGGTGACAGCCTCCCCTCGCCATGATACCTGGGGGTGGGTCCCTTCTCTGTGTCTCAGTTTCCCCATCTGTAAAGGGAGATCTGATGACTATATGATTGATTTGGCCAGCATTCATTCATTGTACAAGCATGCTGGGCACCTACTAGTTGCTATAGACTGCACTGGGTGTCAGGTCAGGCGCATTTCCTGACCTCAAGGGTGTCCAGGCTACAGGGTGAGGCAGACGATGCTTGGTAGATGCCCCTAGGGAGGGCTGGGGCCTGAGGAACCCCTAACCAAGAGAAGGGAATCAGAGAGGGCTTCTGGAAGAGATGCAAAGACCTTCCAAGATTATCGGTCACTTTTCAGAATGAGAAATCAAGGCCTAGGGTGAATTGGCACAGGGAGGGAAAGAGACTTGCCCGAGGTCACCCAGCATACTTCCTATTTCTAGACATGTTTCTATCACTTCAAAATCCCTGGAGAGGGGCCTCCTTGGTGGCTCAAGGCCTTAATCTCAGCACTATGAAACTATCGGCAGCCACTGCAGCACTAATTCGAGTCCCAGGCAGGGAACTGACCCACATGGCCCAGCAGACTTCTCCCGTCTCACCAGTTGCTCCCCTCAGCAGTGTATTTAGTCAGCTTGTCTGTTCTGTTCCCCACTCTGTCTCTGGTAGATCCTCTCACCCTGGGGTAAGAGGTGACCTCACCTCTGACCTGCATCTCTGCTCTTATTATATAAATAAAATAAATCTTTAAAAAAATTCCTGGCGAACCAGGAAAGGATTCTCTCCTTGTTTTGATGAGGAGACCGAGGCCTAGGGGTATGCTGTGAGCTTCCCAAGCGACGACCGGACTGGAACAGAGCCAGGTCTCTGTGTTACATGAGGGGACAATCACAAGTTATCTGACCCCAAAGGGAGACCCACGTTGCAGTGTCCTGGCTCCTTGCTGGGTTCTCCTTTCACTGTCTCTCATTCAGTCACTCAACAGACATGTGCTCCGTTTCTGCCCTCCTACCCTCTCTTCCACATGGGCTGGGGGTGGGGGCCTGCCCAGTCTCTTCCAAGACTCCCCTCTGGGCTTCTGTTTCCCCCACTCTGCTATGACCCCATTTGCTCAGATCCGAAGTCTCTAGTCACAGGCTCCCTTAGATGCCAGGAGGCATCATTTTAAAAGGGTTTACAGAGTAGTTTTGAGTTGCCCCTGCCCCATGTGTACACGGGGAAACTGAGTCCCAGAGGGGGGCAGAAAGGTGTCCAGGGTCACACAGAGAGCATCTGCCTCTTCCAAGGGCCCCTTTCATCTTGCCTTCTGTACCTCTGGACCATCTTCTCAAGGGCCACCCCATGGGCCCCGTCATGGGACAGTATGGGTAACCTGAGCTGGGGTTCCACACCAACCACAGTCACCTATTTGTGGTCAGTTCTTCATCTTGCCCCAATAGGGATTGCTCTGCAGAGCATCTGGGTTGGAGGGAGAAGGATTCTCAGACTGACCGCAGGCCATGGGGTAGAGGCCATGAGAGGGAGATCCTAGTCCAGAGCTTAGTGACAGTGGGGTCACAGGGGACTCCAAAGACCACAGAACCAGGACCACACAGACTGCTTGTACCTCCTAGCCCAACTTTACAATGCCCCTCCTAGCCTCTGTCCTAGCAGTTCACCTTCAAAGACTTGGCCCAACTGCAGGGACCAGGATGAGTTCAGGCCTGCACAGAGGCAATGCCACCCCTAGCGCCCAGAAATGCCACCCCTAGCTCCCAGGAGACCTAGTGTGGGCTTGAATATGTATCTTGTCTTCTCTGAGCCTCGGTTTCCCCATCTATACATAATGGCCTGTCTCCAAGTTCCTTCGAGCAGGGCTTTAATGGGGGAGTGGAGGTTGGTGGGCCCCAGGGCAAGGGGACAGCTGGGGGCCAGAAAGGCAGCACCAAGGGGAGGGGGCGGCGAGTGGTGGCTCCCTCAGGGAAGCTGGCAGGCGCTGGTTTCCGGCCAGCCCATCTGGAATCACTTAGCCCCTACCACCATTAACCCTTGGCTGGCATCAGGGCTGTTAGGCCTTCTCTCAGCTGAGATGCGGTGGGGACACAGGGAGTGCCAGCCCTCACCCATGGCTGGACAGCGGAGACAGGAAGGTCATGACTGAGTGGAGCAGATTTGGAGCCAGAGGCAGGACAGAGTTCAGTTCCGAGCTTCTGCAGTTCCAAGCTGCATGACCTTGGGCAAGTCACTTAAACTCCTGAGTCTGTTTCCCTCTCTAGAAAATGGAGCCAATCAGAGGAATGAGTCTTCAGACTGTTGGATTTGTGGTGTATTTACAGGGCTTAGAACAGTGTCTAGAAATGTTACTGTTGAAATGGGAATTCCTTCCATTTGCAGCCCCCTTCTCTGAGCCTCAGTTTCCCTTGTGTACTCTGAAGGGATGGACAGAGCAGGGAGTGTGGAAAGTCAGGCTGAATGGGGTGGGGTGCAGAGGAAGAGATGGGGTGCAGTACCTTTGCAGGGAGGTATGTTCAGGGATTAAACCCCTGAGCCAAGACGTGGGCAGTCCCAGCTCAGCTCTGCCACTTCCTGCCAGTGGGACCCACTTTCTGAATTGAGTCTCTGAGTTTTCAGCTATAAAGTGGACATATATGTCCCGCCTCACAGTTGTTGAGAGGCCTAAGTGCACAGAAGGCATTTTGTGCAAGGACTGGAGGAGAGTGAAAAAGCCACAAAAGGTGGCTCCTTCTCAGGTGTGGTGCCTGCTGCTGGCACAGAAGTGACACGGAAGTTCCCACCCCCACCAGGGCCGGAGGGGAGCTCTTCCAGCTGAGCCCCAGTGTGGAAAGCCACTCTCCAAAAGTTTGTCCTGCATAAGGCCTGGCTGGAGCCAGGCTGCTCTCTGGACTCTCAGGCCCAAGCTCTTCCCTGAAGGAGGGAGCCAGGCTGACTGACCAGCCCCCGACCCCCACCCACGCACTCATCAGGCCGGAAGCCACAGCTCTCTGTGGGGCTGGGGGAGGGGAGCCCGGAAAGGGTGACTGAGTGGGAGAAATCCCAGTAGGCCGGCTCAACACTCACTCACAGAGCCAGCGGCCACCACATCTGGCTCTCCCACGCTCCCAGGGCTGCCCCCCTTCCCAGGCCTTCCAAGCCTGGGGCGAGGAAGTAGCACACGTGTCCCAAGCATCCAGCTCAGTCCTCTGGGATGTCAGAACCTGAAGAATTCTAAGAGAGTGTCCAGTGGAAAGGCATGCAAATTAAGGCTCAGAGAGCAAGGGGGACTTCCCACAATTGGCAGATAGAGAAAGGAGACCCCCCAGCTCATGTCCTTCTTCCTTGTACACTTTCAGCAGGTAGATTCTTGGACCAGACACTGGGGAACTAGAAGAAGAGCATGGTGGGACATATCCCAGCCTGCCCCCACCACCCCGCCCCACCCGGAAACAGCCGAGTGGGTGGGCAGAGAGGCCAGCAGGACTGGAGCAAGGACTGGAGCAAAGTGAAAAAGCCACAAAAGGTGGTTCCTTCTCAGGTGTGGCCACATTCCCACCCTAAGTCCCTAGGACTGTGCTTACTGTGTCAGCCACCAAGACCTGACAGGGTCCCCTGGAGATTAGGGCTTCAAGGCCCTGCCCACCTTGGCCTCTCCCGGCCCAGAGCTGGACTAGTCTCAGTGCCTCAGGGTCACAGGGGACAAGGATGTGTGATCCACACAGATGGATTAAAGGTCATCAGAACAGCAGGACCCTGAGAGGTCTCACTGGATACGCTGGGTCCCAAGGCCCAGAGAGGACCAGGACCTGTTTGAAAGCACACAGCAGGTCCAGAATGGGGCTGCTCACTCTGACTCCCAGACTGTCTTGTCCGTACTGCCATTTATCCATGCAGCAGATGCTAATTGAGCACTTACTGTGTGTCCTGCCCTCATAGAACTAACATGGAAACCATGAATTCATGATATCATGCTATGATAAGGTTAATGGAGATAGAGAGCATATTGGGCTGGGCGGGTAGAACTACTTGTTTAGGGAGATTGAGCTTTCTTGGGGGAAGAAACATTTCAACTGAGACCTGAAGTTAAGAGGCCACACACAGTGCAGGGGCAGGAACAGTGTTCTAGACAGAAGGAACAGCATGTACAAAGGCAGGGAAAGAGCCCAAAAGAGCTTGGTGTATTTGAACAGGAAGAAAAGAATGGTTAAGGCACAGAGAGAGTATGGTGGGGTGTAGGCTGGAGAGGGTGTAAGGGCTTTGCGGGTCCTAGGGGGATCTTGCTTCTATCCTGAGAGTCAGGAGGGACAACTGCAGGATTTTAAGCAGGAAGCTGCTGCAGTTTGGTCACTGCAGTGCGTTCTGGAGGAATGGACTAACAGGGACAAGAGGTGGGGCAACGGTTCATGTGAAGGTTGTTGTGATCCCCAAAGGCTGCCTGCCCTGCCCTGACTCTGTCCATCCGAGAGGCCGAAGGAATGCACCCAAGAGGGAGGTGGGGCTTCTCGGCCAGTCCACGCTTGACATCTGACTCACGGTGCCACCATGTTTGCTTCCCTTGGCCTCTGGATCTCCTGTGCTCAAAGGGTCAGGCACAGTGCTCTTTCGCAGGAGGACATTCTGTCCCTGGGGCCTCTGTTTCCCCACAGGGAATGGGGTTCATGGTGTGGGGCAGACTAGGAAGTCAGGGAGACTTGCAGTAGTACCCCATAGGGCCAGCAGGTGGCGCCCCTAGCTTCTGGAGGAAGCAGGAGGCGACAAGGGGCTCAGAGGGGGAGGGAATTGGAAGCAAAGACGCCCACAGGGGCACCAGCACCCACTCAGGGGGCTCCCATCTACCCCTTGGAGGTGGGCAGGATAGGAATTACCATCCCTGTTTCAAAGGTGGAAGCCGGGCCTCTGAAGACAAGACAAGCTTCCCTTCCAAGGTCACGGAAGGAGATTGAGGCTTAGGGTGCATCTAGGGAGAGGCATGAGGCTAGAGGGGGATCCTGTGGACCCAGTTTCTCCTCTCAAAGTCAACCGAGTCCCACAGAAAGCTGTTCCCTGAAACTGTTCCCATCCAGCACCATAAACCTGACTTAAAAACTAAGTTATCACCACGATCTTTATGAGGCCATTGCTTTTGCACCCCACCCATGGAGGCCCTGGTGAGGTGTGTGAGAGCAGCCCAAAGGGAGGGCTTCCAGAGGCAAGAGTGACCCGCCCAGGGAGCCAGAGGGAAGGAGAGGTCCAATAAACAGCCGCTCCCAGAGATAAGGGCTGTCAGAGGAAGACTACTGCCAAGTGGCTGGGGCCTTCTCCCCCTTTCACATGCCCGTCACTGTCTGAGACAACCAATTCCCAGTGGGCACTTGAGGACACTGAGGCCCAGAGAGGCAAGGGGTCAAGGTCACATGGGAGTAAAGACCATGTGGGGATGGTCTTTATGATTTCAGCCAGCCTGGGACTTTTAACCAAGGCTCCAGTATCTTCAGGAGTGGACAACTGGGGTGTCACATCAGGGTGGTTAGGTCTCTGTTTAGGGGTCCACATAAGGGTGAGGGCCAGGGGAGAGAATGGTCTCTTTTGCATGGAGAGGCCAAAGGAGAAAGAGGAACCAGGTGTTTGTTTAAACAAAACCCCCAGATAGGGGAAGGGGTGGGGGAAGAGATACCCAGGTCATCCTGCAGGAGAGGAAAGAACTTCCAGTGAACTTGGTGCCGTGGCCTCAGGCAAGTGACTTCAATTCTCTGAGTTCCACCTGCTTCATCTGCGAAATGGGCTCATCCTCACTGTGGCTGAAGTGGAGTAATACATGCAAACAACCTGGCATGCGGCCTGCACTTAGCAAATAAATGGCATGACTGCTGTTGTTATTACCCCAATGCAAGTGTAGGGTCAACCCTGCAATCTCAGAGAGAGGCACCTTCAGGGCACTGGCTACAAGTCGGAAGACCTAGGTCTAAGGCCAGTACAGCACCAAGTGGCTGAGGGAACTTTCCATAGATTTCTGGGCCTCTCTTTCCCTATCTGTAAAACAGGTGAGTTGGTGCTTCATAGGTATTTGTGGTCAGCTATGATGTCCCTGCTCGCCTACCCTGGTGGACCTGGGGACATTTGGAGGATCAGCAGGGCTGGACTGAGGACCTCTTGAGCATTCTGGCTGCTCAGTGAGAAGAGCCAGTGGAAACCCAGCTTCTGTGCCCAGCCCGGTGCCCGTGTGACCTTGGTAAGGCACCTGGCCCTTCCTATGCTCCCTTTCCTCATCCAGCAAATGAGGTCAGCTGCCCCCACCCTTTCCAATAACCAGGATTCAGAAAGTGGGTCCAGAGGGGTGTGGAGTCCACATAAATGGGAGAATTAGCCTGTCCAACCCTCTACCCTGGCAAGGACAATATCGAGGGGACCAAGTGAAGAGCTGAAATGGCTTCCCAGGCCTCTGCTCTCTCCCTAATGAGGGAAATGGTCTCTGCTCGCCTGGAAAGTCCTCCATCTCTCAGCCACCACCCAAGTCCTGGACACTGTTTCCTCACTCCTAGGCCCTGGCCAAGCTCTCTACTTCTCTCAGCCGAGCCGTCCCTCTGGCTCATCCACACACCTGTTAGGACATCCCCTCACACCCTCCCCACTGTTCCAAACCCCTGATAACATTTACTCCCACACTTTATGGGCCTGCCCCATCCACACTGCTCCCCCACCGCGGGGGTTTCCCAGTCCCAGAGGACCACAGGGCTCCAGCCTATGCACTGACCCCCTCTGCCCACTGCGCCTTCCCTGCTCCCCAGGGGTCCTTTGTCACTTCCTCTGGCAACGCTTCCATGTCTCCTCCCTCTGGTTCAAATCTCCTGATTCCCAGGTCTCACACAGATGTCCTTTTTACCTTCTTGTGTGTGATTATTTGATTTGTAACTGCTCCCCCTACCTCCCCCCACACCCCCTAGGTTGTTAGAACTCCAAGGGCAGGGTCCCACCAGTAGCTCACAGGATCAGCCCAAAGGAGGAAACTTAAGACACATTTGTCAAGTGATTGAGCAGAGGAGCAAACAGATGCCTAGACAGTCCAACCTGAAGGCCTCCATTGGGTCTGACTTCGCATATTCTAGGCATTAGAGAGCGCCAGGCTTCCCACCCCAAAGATAGGTGTCCTCTCCGAGCTCCCCTCACGGGACCTCTAGCGCCCACTTGCATGCTTCCTGTGGTGGTGAGCTCCTCGCCTCCTTCATGACGGCCCATCTCACGATGGAGGGCCCTTGAGAGAGAGAGAGAGCTGTGTTGCAGGTGGGTTGGCTTCTCTATCTGTGCCTGCAGCTTTCTCTCTCAGGTCCCAGTCCCTGACCCTCTCAAACCAGACCTGCAAGCCCACTCCAGGGCACCTCTCCTTCCTGAGCAGCTCTGGGAGAGAAGAGCCCAGTCCCCCCAGGGGCGTCCTCTCCCCTCTCAGGATACTTCATTTTCCACCCACCCCTTGAAAGACTGGTTCTGAGCCCAAGGCATCAGACAACTTCTGTGCAAAATATCTCCCACAGTCGGCTTCCTGACAGGGGAAGGGGGCCTTCCCTGCCAAGGCAGCCATGTGCATATCCATGTCTGGAGACCACCCAGGCGGCAGCCGTCCCCTCTCCCACCTCCTTCCGCTGCCTAGTCCCAAGCACAGTCCCTTTCCTTTCTGGGCCTCAGTGCTTCCATGTGTAAAATGGAAAGCGCTCCCCTTGGGGGGTGGAGATCTTAAAATGCCTACTGTTAAATCACCCATCAGATTCCAAGTGGGACCAGCTTCACCTGTGCACACACCAGGCCAGTGTTTGGAAGAGCTGCATGCTTGGATGGGTGTTCTGCTGTCACCATCTCAAAATCCTTAATGTTTTTGAACAAGGCATCTCACATTGTCATTTAGCACTGGGTCCTGCACATTATATCTAGATCCCAGCACATCTGTGTAATGCTGAGATACCTTCCTGATGCCAAAGCCCAGGCAAGTGCACCTGCTGAGTTCACACAGCTGCTGGGGTGCCCCATGGCACAGACCACCCGGGTGTGATGGTAGTGCTCTCCTTGAGACACTGAGCTCTGGGAGGGCAGGGATCAAGCCCTTCTGGGGCCTGCAAATCTGACTTGTACCCAGCTCAGGGGTGGTATACAGGAAGCACTAAATCATTAGGCAACAGGTGAATGGATGAAGCAGAGGGGTAGCTGTGGGAAGACCTGCCCCAGATAATGGGTAACTCTAGGGAGGTTTGATAGAAAAGACCCTGATTCAGCCTAGCTTCTGGAGGCCACATGCCCCTGCATGCTTACAGGACTGCCAAGAAATGTCAGAGGATCAAACCCCTATTCTCTGATAGGGGCTTCTTTGCAGCTCCTTGGCACTGAACCAACGCCCTGTGGGATGGGAGCCGAATGGGCTACTGACCCAGAGTCCTGTCCTTCATGAATTCTTCCCAAACCCCTCAACTTTTTTTCCCTCTCCCAGTTCACTGCTAAACCCTCAAACTGTCTGCTCCCTCCCTCTAACTCCTGTGACTTAGATAGCTATAACGTGTCTGCCAGTCTTTGCCGGGGAGGTGCATTAAAAATTCCAAGGGGCTCCAGCTATAATAAAGAGACCGGAGGTTTTGGGTCCTGATTCACCCAAAGGAACTACTAAAAAGACATTTTTTGATCCACTAGAATACTTTGAGTATGAACTGCACGTTAGATAATATCCAGGAATTTGTGTTCATTTTGTTAGATGTGATAATGGTACATTATGTAAGAAAATAGGTGCTTTAGAGATGCATGGTGAGGTAAGTGGCGTAAAATGACACGATGTTTGAAATTTGTTTTAGACTACTTTAGCAAAATAAGGAAATAAGTGCGACAAAATCTTCACAATGGTTGAAATTGGGGGATGGATATAGCAATACATAGCGGTTCACTGGCAATTCTACTTTTAAGTATGTTTGAAATTTCTCTTTAACATAAAGGGAAGCCAAGGGCTGTCAAGAGCATTGTGAAAATTTTTCTAGGATGTCCTGAACATTGTCCCTACTCACCCACCTCTTCAGAGCTAACTCCTGGATTGTCTGTGGACTGCTGTGATTGCATATGTGCATTTTCCAGGAAAAAACACCCACAGCTTCCATCCAAGACTCTGAGGGGTCGTGACCCACACCCGGCCACCCCCCTCTTTCCTGGTAAAAGATTTAGGGCCTGCTACCTTACCGAGGGGAAACCTGTTTGAAGTCGGCGGGTTGCTCCCCTTCCCTCCAGCTGACCACAAGGGCGAGTGTTACAGGCCTGTGCGCCGGCCCTGGCTCACCTTTTCTCTACCTGTGCAATGTGCTGGCGGCGCAGGCAGCCGCGCGAGGACAAGGTGTTTGGGCCGCTGGGCCTCTAGGCCGCGGTCTGTTCGAAGATCGCCGGGACACGCCCCGAGCGCCCCCACCTCCTCCCGGCCCCCGTCCGTCCACCTCCCGCTTGGGGCGGCAATTTGTCTCCTTTTGAACCCCCCGCCCCGGACGGGATTCCCCCTTTGATTCGCAGCCGGGAGGCTCCCCCAGCTTTGAAATGCAAAGCCGCCTGGGCTGGGGCCGCCGGGCCCGTAGCTATAAAAGGCCTGGGTGGGGCGGGCGGCGGCCGGCCAGCGAGTTCAGGTGAGCTGCGGCTCGTCGGGGCGGCCGGCGGAGGCGGCTCCAGGGCCCAGCATGCGCGGGGGCCCCGGGGCCACCATGTACGTGGGCTATGTGCTGGACAAGGATTCACCCGTGTACCCCAGTCCCTCCAGGCCCTCGAGTCTCGGGCTGGGTCCGCAAGCCTACGGTCCCCCGCCCCCCGTGGCCCCGCAGTACCCCGACTTCACCGGCTACTCGCACGTGGAACCGGCCCCCGCGCCCCCGCGGCCTGGAGCGCACCCTTCCCGGCGCCCAAGGACGACTGGGCAGTTTCCTATGGCCCGGGCCCCGCGGCCCCCGCCGCCAGCCCAGCACCGCTGGCGTTCGGGCCACCTCCGGACTTCAGCCCGATGCCCGCGCCCCCAGGGCCTGGCCCGGGCCTCCTAGTACAGCCTCTTGGCAGCCCGGGTGCACCGGCCTCGCCCGGAGCGCAAAGGCGGACGCCTTACGAGTGGATGCGGCGCAGCGTGGCGGCGGGAGGTGGCGGTGGCAGCGGTAAGGACCCCTCCCTCGCCCTGTGCCTCCAACGGTTGCGCCCCTGGGCACCAGCAGGTGCTGGGGAGAGACTGGCAGCCCCCTGTCACGTTTCTGCCCTGGCCTGGTCTGGTTTCCAGGAAGGTGGTCCTCCCACCCTCTCACCTGGGGACTATGCTCAGCCTCTCCATGCTGAACCCCAGCCTTCCATACCCTTAGTAAACCTGTCTTGATACAGACAGGGAAACTGAGGTCTCTAGAAGTGAAGAAATGAGCTTTGGGTTGTGGGTCAGGGCCCGCAGACTTTTATCCCTAGTGATCATCTATTCCTTTCACCCTATCCCAACCCCAAGCAGAAGCTGCAGACTGCCCCCACCCCACCCCAAGGACCCACGAGTGGATTGTGTGAACATGGGCAGGTCACTTTCCTCTCCAGTCTCAGTTTCTAGCTGTGCAGTGGACCGATCAGTCGTGGGTCATAGCCTTTGAACTAAAAAAGAGCCCCCTTTGGTTAAATTGGGAGGGGTCCCCACTAACCATTCCAGGGCCTTCCCTGAACTCTTGACCCCGGGGGAGGGGAAGCAAGAGCAGTTGGGAAGGTGGCTACTGTTTGGCTCCTGAGCCTGTGAATCTCCTGCCCCAGGCAGGCCTCTCTGATCCACCCTCTTCAAAGGCAGGGGAGGGGGCAGGACAAAGGCCCCGCTTTAATGAGGGGCGGCCTGACCTCCTTCATAGCACCCCCCCCCACCTTTGTCATGTAACATTGGCTGCGCCTTGGCTCTGTAGTGACTCCTGTTGGCCGGGAAGTGAATACCACGACCCATTGTCCTGGCTGTGTCCAGCTTGTCCTGACAAAGGCCACCTGGTCTTGGGGGGCGGGAAGTTGACCTGCCCATCCTTTGATGTCCAGCTCCTCCTCCTCTTCCTCCAGCTGAGAGCAGCCTGGGACTTCCCCCACCTCCTCTCTAGCTGTGCTCACCCAGGGCAGATGCTGGGGAGGGGTGATCAGTAGCTACAGATGTAGCTGAAATGTACCATTTTCTGGGGAGTCCCAGAGACAACCCTTCTGGGTGCCTCAGAGGACCGGGCTTACGCTCCAGGTCTGCCACTCATTTCTGAAACCTTGGCTAAAAATATTAACAGCAAACATTTATGGAACTTACTAATAGACCAGGCACTGACCTAAGGCCCTGCCTGTATTAACTCATTTAATTCTGACAACATTGTGGTAGGTACTATTATCACCTCCTGATTTAAGAGGAAGAAACTATGGCTTAGAGGGGTTCAACACTAGTACAAAGCCACAGAAGCACTGACAGGGGACTGGGGGAGGGGGGAGGGTTGTTGATTTGAACCAAGGCTGGTTGGCCTCAAGCCTATGCTAACCTTTTGAACAACTGCTTTTCTTAAACTGATCCTTCCCTGGGCCTTGGTTTTACTGTCTGTGAAACGAGAGAGAAGGGTCTGGTGCCTTTGAGTTACAAAAGGCCCCCTTTAAAAAAACTGGTGGAAAGTACAAGTCTACCTAAAGTGTTACCTAATTGGGCAGACAATTTTGGGGGTTCTCAGGGTCCCCACTTTATCCATAAGTCCTGGTTGAGAAGCCTGCATTAGATTCTAAGAGAGGGGCTGTCTGGGGCCACAGTCCCTGGAGTTCTGTCTGGGAGGTCCTGGGGAGGGAAGCTGCTTTCTTCTCCACTACTTCAATCCTTGCTTCCTGCTGAGCAGGCTACTAGGAGATGGCTGGAGGGTGGGAGGGGGGGTTCCCTGGGGAGGGCCTTGGAGAGAGGCCATCTCCTTGTTGGAGAGAGTGGGCCCATCAGGGTCCAAGGAGTGGCAGGTGGCCCTGGGGAGCCCCCAGGCTATGTGTTTTCAGGTAGGTCACCTCTGTGGGCACCGGAGCTGCCAAACCAGCTCAGCTCTGGGCTTGAAGGGCTTTTGGAGACTGTTGTCCCCAGGCATATAGGGAGGGGGCCTAGGAGTAACTCTTCTCCAAAACAAAAACCTTTCCCCTTTTTCTCCCAGGAAATAGGAGGAAAGGGTAAGGGAGTTTGGGGAGTTCCTCAGGCTCCAGGAATGTGGCTGCCCCAGGACACAGAAGCCTTGGTCTTGGAAGCCCGAACCTTGGCCCTCCCCTACTTGTCCTCAGTTTCTTCTCTGAGCAATGAAGATACAGGGTCTTGGTCCTCCCAGGTGGCACAGGCTGTTGATTGCAGCGCTGTGAAGCTGTCCACAGCCTCTGCAGTGCAGGTTCTATCCCTGCCGGCCATGGAGATACCCACATGGCGTGGCAGACCTCTCCTGTCTCACCTGCTGCTCCCCTCAGCAGTGTATTTCAGTCAATCTGCCTGTTCTGTTTCCCACTCTGTCTCTGGTGAATCCTCTTACCTTCCCGCACATCTGGCCTGTACCCTGGTTCTTCTATGCATGCATGAATGAATAAATCTAAAAAAAAAAAAAAAAAAGATACAGGGTCTTCCGGGGGCATTTCCTGTGCACTGCTGTTTTCTGAGACAGAAGAAGAATGATCAGTACACCCCCAAATGTCACTGGCCATAGGCCCAGCTACCCTTTGTGGCCAGTCCCTTCTTTCCCTCTTCTGATCCTCCAGCAGTCTGGACTATCTACATTGGGTAGTTAGAGAACAGACATTCAGATGGGGATTGAAGTCCAGACCCCATAAGGAATGTTGCAGTTTCATACAAGCAGAGGTGGGCCTGGGATAAATGCTGAATAAGTCAGTTTAAAATTTTCCAGTGGTTTCCTATCACATTTAGGGCAACATCTACTCTCCTTTCTGAGCTGGACAAGACTGCCAATCAGCCCCGGCCAGCCCTCACCTCTCTCTGCTCCTCGCTCCTTCCCTGCCAGTTCCTCAGAACTGCCACCCCTGGTAGGTCTTATGCATATGCTGTTCCTTCTTCCCAGAATACGCCTTCCCTGACTTTTGTAGGCCTCCTTCTCACCTTTTTAATCTTAATTTAATGGTCACCTCTTCAGAGAAGTTCTCCATGATTTCTCAAAGTAGGTTCCCCACATACCCACCAATTTCTGCCATCTTTCTTTCAGAGAGTTATCCTCCATCTCAATCTACTCGCATACTTACTTGTGTGTTGTCTGTTCCCCAACCAGCATACCATTTCTGTGGTATTCAGAACCCTCTTGAGAACGGGTTCCAACCCATGACTGGAACCATCCTCCATCAGTTTGCCTAGATACAGAGATGCTTACTGGGAACAGTTCAGAGCCAGGCTCGGGATTGCATTTCTGTTAGAAGCTACATAGCCTCAGTAGATTAACTTGGATCTTTTCTCTGAGCCTCAATTGCTTCCAGTATAACTTTAGGTTCATAGGATTGCACATTGAAGCAACCGTGCCTAGAAAGCACAGCCCTGAGCCAGGCACACAGTAGGTACTTTGTGCCTATGACCCTCATGCCTCTGACCAACTCTGCCAGTCCCCAGCATGCACTGGGGCACACCTCATACTCCCTGTCTTTCCATCTGGCTCCCTCAACCTGAGCTGTCTCCCCACCCCCTTTATTTTCCTCAGTTTAAATGCATTAAATTACTTTCTTTAAGACCACCTCCTCTAGGAAGGCCTCCTTGATCTCCTCCCTTCCAGACACTATATGAGACCCTTGTTTAAATAATAGTTACCATGGACTGCTATCTGCCATCTGTTATCTGCCCTAAAGGACCAGTGCTAACCAGTGCCATCCTTTCTACCATGACTTGTTCATTGCAGGTGCTCACGCAGAAACTGATAACCATGGCACTGGCCAGGTGCCAGGCACTCAGAACTTTGTATGGGTGATCTCACTAAGCCTCATGATGCTAAGAGGTATGAGGCTCTATTATTTGCCTTCTTTTGCTAATCAAGTTAATGAGGTTTAGAGAGGGTAAGGGATTTACCTAGCCTCACACAGCTGGGACATGACAGCACAGGGTTCATACCCAGACAGCAAGCCTAACAAATAAAGCAATGTGCTTGGACCTGAGCCTGAGTTCCAGCCCAGGTGGAAGAAAACGAGGCCATTGCTGGGAGGTTGGGCGAGGTGGGGGGGGGGCGGGGGGGACGGGAGGTGGGCCCAGCAGGGGCTGAGCTGCTTAATATTGGTTGTCAAGGCAGAAGCTACGTTTGACACCTCCTTTCTCAGATGTAGCTGGGAAGGGGAATGACCCAGTTAGAAGGTGGCGGAAGGCTTTTTTTGGTTGGGTGTTCTCTCCCCCCTGCTTTTGCAGTTATTGCTGCTGAGGGCTTGGGGGATGATTCTGAGGTCCAAAATGGCTTTGTTAGCAGCAGGGTCTGCCTGTCAGTGGGAAGCTGTCTTAATAGGCTGGCCTCTCAAATTTCTGTCCTGAAACTCCTGAGATTTGGCAACAACACTTACTCTGGAGTCAATGCCATCACGGTAAACCCTCCAGCTTGCTGGGGGCACCCCAAATATAGATTCCTCTACATCCACACTGAAGCACTTGTGTTAGCCGAGACTGACATGCCTAGATCACCCCCTCCAGGGATTTCCCATGGCTTGAAATCAAGTCCAAACCCCTCATCCCAAGCTTGGAGCTCTGCTGGCTTCTCTAGTCTTACCTCTCTCTCTATCTCATTCATTCATTCAGACAGGCAGACAGGCAGGCAGACAGGCAGGCAGGCAGCAACACTCTCTGAGTGTCTCTTCTGTGTGAACATTCTTCTAGGTGCTGAGAATTCCAGTCAGAACAAGGCAGATGGGGCCCCTGGCGAGTCGGAGCTGTCTGTCACGACTCTACTCTCTGCCTTGGGACCTTTGCTCATGCTTTTTTTCTCTTTCTAGAATATTTCCCCCCATTTGTGATGTAGAAGCCTCATTTTCAACCTCAGGTCTTGGTGTAACTTTCCCCTCTTCCGGGAGATGGCCCCTAATCTGAAGAAGGATTCCACCTCCCTACCTTAGCCCTGCCCTCAGCTGCACACTTGCCTCCCTTCATATTAACCAGTTTGTAATGATCTCAGTTGTTTGTTCCTTTTCAAACCCC